ATAATAATAATAATAATAATGATAAACTGTCCCTCTGTCACATCAGTGACAGTGTGAGTGACATAGGGGTGTCATTTGCTTTCCATTCGTATCAATACTCTAGACGAATTTAAGATGAGGAAATAAAAGAACATACAAAAGATGGATGGCAGCAATTAAGAGTGAGGAAAATAGGAAGAAAAGGAGCTAGTAATTTTAAAAAGTACTAAAGGTTGTACAGTGCTTGTTCTGAGAGAGAAAAATGCTAGAGAAAGTAGAAATGAAAGGGCTAAACAAACAAAAAAAACAACCAAAAAAACAACAACCCAACAAGAACAAACAAAGAATGAGGAAAAAGGAACAGAGAAAGAATTCGCCTCTTCTACTTCTAATCCTGAAAAAGTGAGACGAGAGTGAGAGTGAGAGATTTAAAAAATTACATTAAAAAAGACCCAGATAAAAAGATACCAGCATCATTTCTGTCAGAAAAGACCAGAATATTACAGACATTTCTGAGAGACACAGTGGCCCTCAAATATGTTTTGTCTTATCATAATTTTGATAAAGGCTGCAGTGGAGTCCACTTAAACCGAACTCGAAGAATCTGAACAGTGGTAAACAGAAATAAATTGAAATCCGAGATTTTTTCCCCTCCTATTTTTTTAGTTTGAACGATCTCTTTAAACAAAGAAAATCTTGTGGTCCAGTAGTTTAAGCAAACTCCACAGTGGTTAAGCATCTGTGTCTCCCAGGACAGTCAGTAGGGGCCTATACTACATTATTGAGACAGTGGCCCTGATCAGCAGTTTCAAGTCACAGATAAAAAATATCAACAAATCCATAAACCCACAAAGTGCTCTGCCTTTTTAACATTTGGCTCCCCACAAATCTTTTTTTCTGGACCTGCAGAGGCAGTTTAGGAAACATAATAGACACCTAATTCTTAAAAAAGAAGTAAAGTAATATTTTATAATTCGCCCAAATTTCACGTTAAAGGGACATAACCACGAAAATGAGAAAAAAATGTTTTCCTGGTAGTTATGCTCCTTACTCGATTTAACCTATTTAATATTAGAGAAAAGAATATTATTATAATAATATTATTATTATGCTTTATGAACATAAAATAGCGCAGTTGAATGTTTCTTATATACTATTGATGATAAGATTTGGTCTTAAATCGTCATCAACGGACACACACACACACACACCGACGGTTATCAAAATCATTCAGCAGGATTTACGTTCTTCTATAGCAGGTAGGTACATACATTTATCATAATGCAGAGCAAAGGAAGAGGCTGAGTAAAATTGGGGAAAAAATTGAGGAAACATCCTAAGGATACACACTTTGATTTAGAAACCAGCTACAAAATCTGACGTGTCATTCTTGAACAGAAATAATAGTCTACCCAGAATCATCATCATATTATTGAATCGGAGCTTAACTTTGTTGTCGGGTGAGTAGAGTTTAAAGTGTTTTTTAACACAAAAAGCCTTTTAATCGATAATCATGGCTGCAATTTGGTATGCTATGGACTTTATTCTTTATTAGTGTTTTTGCATAATAAGCGTGACGTCAGCATATTAGACCTAATTTCCTTAAAATTTTATGCACTTATCGTCTCTAACCCAAAAAGAATTTTCGTTTTTTTCATTGCAGTTTCTTAATTTGTAGAACTAGTTACATGAACTCAAGAAATATTTTGCTGGAATTTAAAATCTAAGTGTTGAAAAAAACAAAAAAGAAACTTTAAAATAGAGGTAGGCTACCTTCTTTTATTTTAGAAAAGTTTTTTTCTCTTCTGAAAAATTTTGCTGTCTGAGCTTTGAAAAGTTGAATAAATTGCCAAAAATATTAGATCTAGCTCCAACTATAGTCTATTGGTCAGAGAGCTTACAAAATTGATATTGATTTATTATATTATGGTAAATTTTAATTTGCTTACCTTGAAAACTAGGTCAAAGTCCCAAGGGAAGGCATCACTGTAGTCCTCAATGTTTCCCAAGTAGGTGACAGTTGCTGGCCCTCTGCTGGCACCGGCCGGGAGCTTGAAGAGTCTCCACGCAGCACACATGTACTCTGCGTTACCTGTGGGAAGGGGAGGGGGGGGGGGGTGTCATAGTTTTAGTTTTAGATTTTTAATTTTTTGATATCTTGATCGATGCAATGTTTTTAACAATGTAAAGAGAAAGCGTGAGATAAGAAAAGAGAGTGAGAAAGAGAGGGTGAGACTGAGAGTAGGGAGGGTGTCATGGTTTTAGTTTTAGATTTTTTATTTTTTGATATCTTGATCGATGCAATGTTTTTAACAATGTAAAGAGGAAGCGTGGGATAAAAAAAGAGAGTGAGAGAGAGAGAGAGAGAGAGAGAGAGAGAGAGAGAGAGAGAGAGAGAGAGAGAGAGAGAGAGAGAGAGAGAGAGAGGGTGAGACTGAGAGTAGGGAGGGTGTCACGGTTTTAGTTTTCCTACAGTCTTAATTGATGCAAATTGTATATACATGTGGAAGAGAAAGAGAGAATCTGAGAAGGAGGGAGTGAAACAACCACTGTTGGAACTATAATCATTTTGTCATTGTAAAACGCACTGAGCACTTTCATAGTGAAAATACGCTATATATGTACTGTAAGTTATAACTGTTATTATCAATTAAACCCTCATTGTATGTGATACGTTCGAGAAAAAAATATAATTGTAAATATTATTTTAACACTATCGACACAATTTAGTCATTTAAGAGGTGAGCTGCTTCGACTCTGCTGTGTAGCTAATCATCGCTGACTGGAATACAACATCCCGGTAGACAGATGGTGAGCAACAACAGCGCTCTCAAACTCAAATCTGTCCCCTCGGTTTTATGTTTTTAAAAAATCTGAAATTATGCAAACTGAACCCAAAATTGTGAAATTATGCGCTTCTGTTAATATGAACAAAAAATGATAAAGGAAAATAATCAGAAATTAACCAAAAAATGATCAAAGTTTGCTAAATTATGCGGGTGCATAAAACCCAGGGGACAGTCAAATTACTCGGTTGCCTCTGAAGGTAGAATCTGGGTGAGCCTGGGCCGTACTAAGAATTTTCCACAACAATTTTTTTAAAGCAACAATACTAAGAAAAGAAAAGAAAAAGAAGAACAAAAAGAAAAGGACAAGAATAAGAAAAGAAGAAGAAGAAAAGAACAAGAACAAGAAAAACAAAAATAGATTTTAAAAAAGACGGAAAACAAGAAGTGAAGAACAACAAGTAGTGAAGAACAGCAATAAGAACAAGAAAATCAGAACCGGAATAAGAAAAAAAAGGCGGATAATAAGAAAAGCAGAACAACTTTTTAAAAAAAAGAAAGAAAAAAAGGGGGAAAAAAAAGAAGAACAAGAAAAGAAGAAGAAGGAAAGTGCAGCTTCTCTCTCAAACACGAGCAAGCACTCACTGAGCTGCTGTCTGTACTCTGCGTTCTTGATGTCTACGGGGGCTGCCTGCGTGAGGAAAGGGGTCGTGAACCCTTCACGTGCACTGAAGGCCTTGAGGTCACTCCAGATCATGGCGCCTCCTGTTCCCAGAGCTGGGATGTTGGAGATAATGAGGTTTTGTTTGGTGAATACAAAGGGTTACAGAGTTTTTATACGTTAAATGGAGAACAAAAGAGTGAAAGAGGTTGTGTTAGTTAATTGGTGGATATAAAGAGTTACAGAGGTTGTGTTAGTTAATTGGTGAATATAAAGAGTTACAGAGGTTGTGTTTGTTAATTGGTGAATATAAAGAGTTACAGAGGTTGTGTTAGTTAATTGGTGGATATAAAGAGTTACAGAGGTTGTGTTAGTTAATTGGTGAATATAAAGAGTTACAGAGGTTGTGTTAGTTAATTGGTGAATATAAAG